CTGCTTTTACATGATCAAGAAATATTGTTACAAGAACAACAACTGCTTTTTATATTGTAAGTGAAATTTAAATTTTAGAGCATTATTAATAACTATATTTATTTATACCAAACACACCTCTGAGTATAACTCAGCTAATGTGTGTCCAATATGACAATATAACCAGGAACAGACACTGAGGCCTGAGCTGTGCTCAGCTGTTACCCATAATGCACTGCGCTTTGTTCATCGGGTGATTTGCATGACTCTGATGGGTTGTGCCGCTCACCGGTGATGTGCAGGCCGCGCTGGAACACCTCGTACATGGTCTTGGCGTCCTCGTGATAATACGAGAGCAGCGTGGAGCTGTCGCCCATCATGGACCTTCGAGCGCCGTCCTCCATCTGGAACACATCTTCTGTAAATCCCAGGCAATAAGCGTATGAAAGGTGCATTGTTGAATTGGTCGTCTAGTACTTGTTTGCATTCGTGTTTGCATTCATATTTGCATTCTGCTGGATTGTGTGCAACGAGAACGTGCTCGCTTCAGTGCTTTCATCTGTGATCATAACACTGTTGTTTAAAACCAAACATCAGTCTGCATGCGCAGAGCTTTCCACAGGCTTATAGTGAAGGAAATATTACCACTGTCATCTCCTGAACCACATTCGAAGACAGAGTATGAGAATATATACAATATGCATATATATATAGATGTGGTGGTGATGTTGTTGTTGTGGGACGCTACAGTTGGCCAGCTGCTGAGAATGCTTGGCTTATGCAAAACCTCAGATCTGAGCCGGATTTGAACACACAGGACTCAGACAAAAGGAGATCATCACAGGACACAGAACCAGTCTGAATATGCACTCGCGTTTAGTTTGATGATTTATTGTTGAAGTGATAAAAGCATAACGTTGGAGCTGCATGAATGAAGCCTCTCTCTGTGTGAGTCTCTTGTGCACACTAGTGAGGGAGGAACTCATGTGATGAACACTTCAAGATGATTAATAACTAATGCTCAGTCATTTAGATCAGAGCTTCTCAGCCTTTATTTCTCCAAAGCTATTTACTGTCAAAAATGATAAAGCATAATTAGAAATCATTTAAAATAATTCAATTTCATAACCCCAGTAACTGAATGTTCTACATGTTTATGTTTTTTATTACCATTAAATTAACATGACTTCTAGTTTTATTATTTTTACCAGTATTATTTTAGTATCATTTACAGATGATTATAGTCAATATATTGAATTAGTTTTCAGTTTGTTTTTAGTTAAAGTTTTTGTCATTTCTTAGTTAATTTTTTCTTTTCTTTTTTTTGAGTACATCAAGTTAAACTAAATGAAAATGATGAACAAGAGAAATGTTTCCTTGGAAGCTAGCTGAAATAAAATGAGTGTTTTTTGTTTGTTTGTTGGTTTCTGTTTTTTCGGTTAACAATAATTGTATTTAAAAGTAAACAAATTTTACCATTTTAGTTTTAGTTAATGATAATAATTCAGTTTTTTTTTCACAATGAGCAATTTACATTTATATAAATCTTTTCCAGGTCTAGAACCACATGTTTAAAAGTCCAGAATATGCAGGCTGTCCACAAGCATCTGGTTCTTCATCAAAAACAGAACTTGTTGAGGGAACGAAATTTAAAAAGAAATATGATTTCGGCTTACATCTTGATTTTTAGCTGCTTTCATTTATTTTAAACCTTGCTTTGTCTTATTTTAAATAATATAAAATCATCTTCGTGAGATCCGTGAGATCCGGAGGGTTTTAAGATGACGTCTGTTTGAGCAGCAGCATGATTCTCATCACAGGTCGGCTCTGTCGGCTCTGATCACCTGATCCGAGGTTTACCTGCACTTCCTGTGACTGCAGCCGGAGGTCGCAGGGCGGCGTGATGGGCCGCGGCCGAGTGGAGATCCAGTAGGCCAGCACAGCGGTCAGAGCACCCAGACCCAGCAGAGCCGAGGTGGGCAGAGAGCGGAGGTGCATCATCTCCATAAGCGTGTAGCTGAGCTCTGACACACACACACACACACACACACATCAGACCAGATCCAACATGCATGATCATGTGTAAGGATAAATCCGAAAGCACAAAGTCACAGTTTGTCTGGACATCAACACAAACAGACAGCAGCGCTCGCTTCTTTAAAAACATTCAGAAAAAATGTTTGCATTTCATAAATGGGTGTTTTAAATGTTGAGAAAACATTGAAATATAACATTCTCATAACATTTTCAAAATGATAAACTGGAATATACATCTAATGTTCATATATCAAAAAGAAATGCTACTAATTCATAAAAAAAACTGTAGACTTTTGGACATTTAAAAACCATTCAGAAATAATGTTTTCATAACTTCTATGTTAGCAACACCTGGAACATATTTCTGTTAGCTGGGCTGATCTAACCCACAATAATGAGCTTTGTTGTTGTTTTGAAAGTTCTGTCATTTGGAAAGGGTAAGCAATTATTCTTACAGTGTGATTTAGCATTAAAATGAAGTATGAAGAAGATCTGCACACATGCTGGAATCCGACAGCTTTTCTCCAAGTCCCTGATGAAAAACCAGCATATTCTGGTTAGGTATGTTGTGAAGCATGGCAGCTGGTTTGAGCTGTTGGTCCTTAGTTGGTCATGAGCAGGAGCTAGTTGCTTAGGACCAGCTTAAACCAGCTCAAACCAGCTGCCATGTTTGACAACATACCTAACCAGAATATGCTGGTTTTTCAGCAGGGGTGTCCGATGAG